TGGAGGATGACTATGTTTTATTTAAATTTAGGTTTAAAGGTCAGAGTTTTTAGAATAAACGTGAAGGGTTCATGAACTGTACTCCAGCTGGGTGGAACTTGTGTTTATTGTTTCAGGTGCACTATGATTTGGGAGGTATTTTCTTCCAGCAAGGCTGCACAGACCAACCAGCGTTTGAGAAAGCCAGGGATCACTTCAGACAGACAAAGGAACTGTTGAAGAAGGTGGATTTACTTAAAAATTACTGTGACATTTGTTACATATTATAAAGAATCTGCAGATTTCAGTAATTCCTTTATATTTTTATTTTTCAGCTGGACTCGACTGTTCACGTTCACCTGGATGAGAAACGTTTGGCCGGGTACTGGAACGCCTGCAGCGCTCTGACCGGAGACTGTGACCCCGCTGACTCCCACACCACAGCCTACGATCACATCAACAGCCTGATCAGGGCGCACAACCACCAGGTCAGAGCAGACACGTGTCATCACACGTCCTGTGTTTAGATTACGAGGAGAGCTGTTGTAGTATTTCCTCTTCCTCTCTCACAGGCCGTCATCGAATCCTTCATCAAAGACAACGTGAGTCGCAGTTTGCCAAACAACTTCAGACGCTCGGTTCTCAGAGAGCTCCTGTACAACGTCCAGCAGGGGTGAGACCACAGTCAGTCCGAGCAGTAAGCTTCATTCTGGTGATCAAGACATTTACATATTAAACTACTTCTATAACCGTGCAGGGAAACAGGACTGGATGAAGTTTGCCACAAGCTGTGTGTCTGTAACGCCGTCCGAGACGCTCTGGAAGGAGAAGTGCTCAGTGTTCGTTTCCAGCAGCTGCTCCTCAGACCCACTAAACGAATGGTGGACTTCATGTTAGAGGTAATCAAGTTCCACAATCCTTAAATACTACAAAACCACCTGTACCGTTCTGATTCCAGTTTTGAGCAATGAAGAAGAGCATTATGAAAACTGTTGCACATTTAAATCCTGTTGTCTTCGTCCTGCAGGTTTGCACACGTTCGCTGGAAAAGGAACGTCCATCTGAGACCTCCAGAAGAAACATGGCCAGCTTCATGAAGTGAGTGAAGCACAGACGAATCATTTTACTCGAGGGGTCATTTATAATGATAATCCTGTCTTGACTCCTGAATTAAACCGTTCCCGTTGTGCAGGACTCTGTGTGAAAGCCTGGAGGATCTGTCTCTGGTGTTTGTGGTGTCGTCTCATAAGCTTTTCATGGAGCTGCTGCGGGAGGAGGAGAGGAAGGTCCTGATGGAGCAGATGAGGAAGAGGTCGGCCACAATCAACCTCAGTGCCAAACCTCTGCCTTCCTTCTACGACATTCCAGGTGAGCAGGGCTTGATTTTTCCTCTGCACATTGTTCACTGACGACGTGCGTTTGTTTCCTGTTGAACTGCCGCCCGCTAGCTTTGTGACTTATTTTATTTCGGTTCGCCAGCTTCAGCCAGTGTGAACATCGGGCAGCTGGAGCAGCAGCTCATCCTCTCTCTGGAGCCCCGCAGGATCAGACAAATTCTTATTGAACTCCACGGAATGGCTGAACGTCCCTTCTGGAGGGTGAACAGTAAGGTCAGAGGTTGAACATTCACTGGAAGGACACTTTATAAAACTATTATTAAGAGGAATCTAAGGATTCCTGTCAATTTCACAATAATAACTGTCTGTATGTGTGCACAGTGGGAGGTTCCTCCAGACTACATCAATGTGATCCTCAGTATTAAAGACAACCTGACCAAGGACCTCGTGTACATCCTCATGGCCAAAGGACTCCACTGCATATCAATAAAGGTGAGATTATCAGAGCTCACAATTGTAAGTAATTGACCTGAACTCTCTTTAAACTACAAATGTTAAAGTCTTGAATCGTGTTTTCCTGTTGTCTCAGGACTTTGCTCACGCACGGCAGCTCTTCTCCGCCTGCCTGGAGCTGGTCACCGAGTTCTCCCCGAAGCTGAGGCAGGTGATGCTGAACGAGATGCTGCTGCTGGAGGTCCGAGCGCACGAGACGATGGCGGCCGAGGGCAGCAAGGAGCGACCGTCCTCGGACCTGGTCAGCAGGGTCAGAGGATACCTGGAGATGAGGATTCACGGTGAGAGGATGTTGACTCGTTACCTGATCTGTAACTACGTGTAACTTAGTTTTTAATTTTGGGATTTTTCAGATTCACTACATGAGCAATATCGTTTTTTCTCTGCAGACCTGCCTCTGCGTCAGGTGGTAGGAGAGGAGTGCGTCGCCTTCATGTTGAACTGGAGGGAGAACGACTACCTGACTCTGCAGGTGCCATCGTCTCTGGTCATGAACAACCCATACATCAAGGTAAGAGTTGTTCTTAAGTCCAATGCTGCTGTCATCACTTTTCAAAGCCTCGTAAACATTCTTACTGGATTCCTGATTCCGGTAGCTCGGTCAGCTCCTGGCGTCGACGTGCAAAGAGCTGCCGGGTCCCAAAGAGAGTCGGCGCACAGCCAAGGAGCTGTGGGACGTGGTGGTTCAAATCTGCAGCATGTCTGTCCAGCACAAGAGGAACAACGACGGCCGAGTGGGCCTCATTAAACAGAGGGAGTCGTCCATGGGCATCCTTCACAGGTACAGGCTCTCTGGTTCCCAAAGCTTTGAGGGTTTGAAGGTTTTAACTCTGGCTTGATTCTGTTACGTTTTCATTGTTTAGGAGCAAATTCACCACTTTCATCAAGAAACTTCGAGTGAGTATTAAAGTCAAACAGTGGAAATATTTATATTTTAGATGTGTGACGGAGAAACGATGCACAGGTAACGAGTTTAACCTTTTTCTTACAGGAGCCGCTGGTGTTGACAACCCTCATCTCCCTGTTTGTGAGGCTCCACAGTATAGTGCGGGTAATGTTCTTCAGTGGCCTCATAGTAAATCTAAAACCCCCTGGTACTGTCTGGTGATGCTGCACACACACACACACTCATCTCTTGAATGGTTTTCTTCCTCTTCAGGATGACATTGTGAATGAAGTGACAGCCGAACATCTCTCCATCTGGCCGTCTACTCTTCTAAAGTAAGAATTAGCATTTTCTACAAACGACGTCTCACTGATCAAACCACTGATGACGGCGATGTGTGTTGAACAGTATCCAGGCCGTGGATGTCGAAGCTGTGGCTGTGACGGTCAAAGAGCTGGTGTCTTACGCTCTCACCCTGAACCCCAACAACCAGTCGTGGCTCATCACGCAGGCCGACATCTACTTCGGTGAGAGGAAACATCCACGTCTCACAAGAGACTGCAGGGGCCAGATGTGTAAATGATATGTTTAACCGGTCGGTTGTGCTCTAGTATAAATACTACCACTCAGGTACAAGCTACAAAAGTACTGAGACGAGCTGGATACACAGAAACCTTAGAAATGTTTTTTTTCCTTTCTGCTGTGAGTGACACAACTTCCTGTAGCAAACAAACACCTGGATGATAAACTGTCTGTTCAGGAACCACGTTTGAAAACACATCTTTCAGTTTGAGTAACGACTTCCATCCTTTGTCTCTGCAGTGACCAATCAATACTCCGCTGCTCTGAACCTCTACCTCCAGGCCGGAGCCGTGTCCTCCGACTTCTTCACTAAAGCTGTTCCCCCTGATGTTTACACTGACCAGGTACAACTCTCACAACTCAAAACTACTTGTTAAACACCACGCTGACATTTAGAATGTAGAAGAGTACAAGCTGAACCTGTTTCCGTGGCTGGATGAACAGAATTCAACAGAATCAGTTTCCTAACGAGCTGGTTGTTGTTCGCAGGTTCTGAAGAGGATGATCAAGTGCTGCTCCATGATGAACTGCCACACACAGGTAGGACACCGGACACTTCAGCTGCTTTCTACAGTGAATAGATCGGTGAATCTGTTTCGTTCCTGATTGTCAGTATCAATAAACGTTATGTCTCATTCTCAGGTTGCCGTCCTCTGCCAGTTTCTGAGAGAAGTCGACTACATGACGGCGTTCAAAGCTCTTCAGGAACAGAACAGGTACGAGCCAACATGACGCACGTTACCAACATCGAACCGACCGAACGCTTCCTAACATCTGGAATATTTTCTCATCTCAACCCAGTCACGACGCCATGGATTCTTTCTACGACTACATCTGGGACGTCACCATCCTGGAATATCTCACACGTATCCTGTTGTTGATTCACGAGGGAGAAAAGACACATTGTTAACTTTGCTGTCAAAGCTTCATATTTTTTCCAGTTTCCTGTGATTCTTCTCTTAATGTGCGTTCAGATATTCACCACAAACGGGGCGAGGCCGAGAAGAGACAGATAGCGGTAAGTCCGATACAGGCACGGTTAATTAACTTGCGTTGCACCCCAGGTTTTCCTGAGCCTCTGCTCTCTCTCCTCAGATCAAGGCGATCGGACAGACGGAGCTGAACACCAGTAACCCGGAGGAAGTGCTGCAGCTGGCGGCTCAGAAGAGGAAGAAGAGATTCCTGCAGGCGATGGCAAAACTGTATTTCTAGCAGACGTCAAAAGACCCTCGGGATGGGGGGGGAGTGGGAATGTATATTTTTTTATTTTGTGGTAGAAAATAAACTTCTAAATAAATACAGCTCATTTGTACATTTGTAATCATTTGAAAAATAGTTCATGACGATTTAATGCCCTGAGTTACACAAGCAATGGTTGTTTTGTTTTTTCTTCTTCTTCGAGATCATAGGCTTTCACTGACTCGACTGTTTTTAACAGAATGAAACGTTTAAACTCAACCTGAAGTTTTGGCGATGAACATATTAAATATGCTACAAAAAGTAGACAATTGCACAGTCAGTATAAAACGTCATCTAGAAAATGACAACTTACAACAAGCACTTTTTTTCTGAACCAAAGCACCAAACTGCTAAAAAGACAAAATCTTGAGACATAAAAAAGCTTTGGATACGATTCAGTCAAAAAAATCGTCCTGGAGAAAAACGCTCAGCAACAAATTTCAGCGGCAGACGAGAAATAAAAATCTCATCAAGACTCCGTATTCCTGTCGACAGTCTTTTTCCTGCACTGTGATCGGAGGCGTCTCCAGAGAACAAGACTCAGAGTTTGTTTCAGAGGCATTAATTCTGTTTCCCCCTCAGTTCACTTCAGCGTCTCCTCCTCGCTGTGTGTTTTCTCTGTGCTGCTCGGAGGAGTGAGGAACTCGCCGTTCACTTCGTTTTTACTGACGTCATCCTAAAATGAAAAGGTTGAAGGATGAAACAATGGTTTCACTAAATCATTGGATCGATGCAACAACAGGTGAAGTATTGTTACGCCTCCACACCAGCGGCAACCAGTGGCTGGAGGCGTTATGTTTCCTGGTTGTCCGTCTGTTTCTTGGGAACATGATATGTCAAGGATGCCTTTGGGGAACTTATTCAAATACAAATGTTCCCTTGGACTCGAGGATGAACTGATTACAAAACGCCAAAGTCACTGTGATCATGGGACAGACTCGAATATGAACCTTTTCTTGAAGTGTCAGAAGAAGCAACGCTCACCAGCAGGGTCATGTAGTCTGTGTGCGTCTGGATGTTGTGTCTGTCTTCTTTCACTCTGGCAAAATCCTTTGGTGTCGCTCGGCCGAAGCGACCGACTGATTCGACGAAGGGAGCCATCCAGTTCAGGCATGGCTGGAGGACGTCTCTCGACAGACCTGAGCACGGGATCAGTTCATTAATTTGTATAGCACCAAATCATAACGTACGTTATCTCAAGGCTCTTTACATATTAAGGTTGACATCTTACTAAATTACAGAAAATATTTACTATACTTACTGTATTATATTTACTTTAATCCTGCTGGACTTTTTTCAAATGTTTTGACACATTTAAATACCAAGAAATAAAAGTTCTTTCACTGTATCTGGTGTAATTTTCATCTGGTCATTGATCAAATTCAATGTTAAAAACTCTATGAATGTAATTTATCCCAAATCTCACCTGAGACCTTTTCAACTGTTTCCTGCTGAAGGAAATGACACAGGACTGAAGCCGCCAACACTCGATACTGGAAGTCCAGAGAGTTTAAACTGAGGACACAGAGATCTAGAAGCTGGAAGAGAAAAGACAGAGTGAAATACTCGTCTTTTCATTTCATCATTTCACTGTGATTTCAGGGTTCCACCAGCTTTCACGCTCCGAAATATTGATTCAGTTTTGAGGCTGAGGTTTGTGTCAGGACTTAAAAAGGTTGAGTCCCACGCGAACACCTACTCGTGTCATTTGGACGTAGGGGTCGTGTGGAAACTGCGACTCCAGCAGGTCGGAGTTGGCGCTCATCGAAGCCATCTGGAAATAAAGCTTCAGCCACGACACAGCTGTTTCCGGGCAGAGGTTCCAACTTAACGCCTGTAAAACATACAGAGAAATCAGAACGAGGAAAAAAAGCTCCAATATTGATTATTAATAAAGATTAGTGAATTTAAAAATGGCCACACTTGTATTACCTTTAAAATGATTAACTCCATTTGAAGAATCTCTTCCTCAAAGTAGGTCCCTGCAGTCACATGCGCCATCTGTGAGAGTTTCGGGGGACAAGCTTCCTGCAGGGAAACAACTTATTATTGGCTTTTTAAATTATTATTCAACATAAATCATCATCATGCTCAATAAAAAGTGACTTCTCTTTTCAGGCTCATCAAAAAAAACAGTTCTCATTTTTTCTTCTTTACCTCCATCTTGGATGCTATAAAAAGACATGTGATCCCAATGAGCTGCAGCACATTCTTTTCAACGTTGTTCTGGGTCAACATGAAGCGGTCGAAGTAATCCTGCGCCAGATAGAACGTCTGCCGGTGAAGCGTGTACGCCTCACTCACCTGAAGAAACCAGGGAAAACAAAGAACCGTGAGAAGATCCTCCACATTCCTCACAAACAGACAGGAATCGTTAAAAATGCAGAGTTGAAGAGCAAAGATTAATATTTCACGGCAGAAATTAAAATCTTCCAGTTGAAGTTGGGATGTAGATGAAAACTTGCCTCGATTAACCAGTCGAGGAGGATGGATCTCATTCTGGGTTGTATCCTGGGGTGTTTCTGCATGAAGCTCTTACTGTGTCTGTAGTTCTGCTCCTTTCCAACCATCTTCCCCCACACATCTTCAGGAGAGCCCCACCTGTAACACCAAGAAAACCCTCTTCACTGAACTGTCCCGCAGCACAACTCAACCAAACACGGACAAATAACACGTGATGATTACCCCAGAGGAGGCAGAGGGGACGGCCGAGCCAAGGGATCGCTGGCGGTGGGAACTTGATGGTTGTTGTCGTCACAGTCGATCCTGGCTCCCTTCACGGGAGTCTCGATGACAACACAGGGCTTGGTGACGCCTTTACGAATCAGCTGGTTCTGGATTGGAAAATAAAATTGAAATCAGGTTGTGCTTATTCGGACTCTCAGTTAATCTGAGTTGATGTTTTGGGAGGTTTAAGAGCTTTGACTGTTTCTTTTCTTGGACTTTCTGAAGCTGCTCATTTAATTTTTTTAAGTTTTCAAAGCACACAGGTTTATTCGTTTGATTCTATTATGCTTCCTTGTCGATACCAGTGCTGATCCGTCCAGTAGTTTTTGTGTAATGGTGCTAACTAACTAACAAACTCAGTAACAGGAATTACCTTCTCACACTGCAGCTTTGACAAGGGCTGGAACTTTTTCCTGTTGCTTTGCTGCAAAAGAAAAGTAAACATCTGCAAAATGTTTGTCTGCATAAAAAAAAAATTAAAGTCATGAGATTTACTTTTTGGGTTTTTGGGCTCTTACCTTTGAAACTTTGCTTTTCAGCCCTGGAGCATTTTCAGATCTTTTTTGCAGGCGACCACTGCAGAGACAGTGAACATCTACATTTGACAAAGTCCAACATAACAACAATCTTAATAAATGAAACCACGAGGGGAGAGATGATTACCTTTGTCTTGTCATGGCTGGGGCTGCTTTTGTCCTTAAAAAAAAAAATAAGAAGGAAATAATTGAGAAACAAAGTTGAGTGTTTCTTAACAGTAAAGCAGGAAGTTTTCACAGTGACGTCCAGTAACTCTTGTTTAAAAGAATTGTATCTCCCTTTCTTTTAAATGTCATTTTAACATATTCAAATGTATTATCCTGATGTGTTGAAGGGGACTGACAGAAAGCTGCTCCCTCACTTCAGACACAAAGACCCGGGGAGGACATTTTGTCCCGAGCTCCACAGATGAAGTGGATTGAACCCAACATCGACTGCAGCTTCATCACCTCCATCGATCGTGTTATTGATTATCAGACTCTTTTAAAACGCGGCTCACTCGTGTTATTTAAAGCTTTGATTCACTGAACCCGGACCCCCCGAGTTTCCCTTCGTGTCCCCCGGAGACTTTTAAACCAACACCAGACCAGAGTTCAGCTAAAGCAGCTTTAGCTAGAAGCTAATAGCCACTAACTTTAGCCTAAGTTCACGCGAACCACGAGCGCAGCAAAAACAACAAACAAGCGACTTCGGATTCTCCATCACAGTTACGAACACAGCGCTTCGACCCGAGCGTCGTCCCGGGACACGCGTGGGTGTTTGACCCGGTTCGGAAGAAGAGAGAGACACAAACAACGGAGGTGAAGAGACGACGTGACAACAGCGGCTCACCTCCTCCGCTCGGTGGGAATCAAACCTTCCTCCTGTTGCCGCTGGCGCCAACAGCTGCGGTCCTCCACTGCGCATGTGTACGAACAGCGTCCACGTTTAAGTGTTTCCTCTGAAAACACGTTTAGATCCGAGACGAAATCTCCCGCGAACGTGTTTTCACTCGACGCGTTAAGTTTGAAATCAATAAGTTTTACTGTGAACTTCTTCACTGATCCACTGAGCGCGAGGAGACAACAGCTGAACACAGAGAGCGCGAGACCGGAAACAGCTCGACGAGCTTTTGTTTTTGTTTTCAATGTTGTTGTTTGTGAGAAATATTTTTTACAAACAATATGAATCTGTCACGGCCTTTATTTTGTTAGACCATTGTAGGCGGGGCCGTGGAGCAGGACAGCCAATAGGAGGGAGACGTGTGATGAGCGCGTGCTCCTGCAGCTGCATGTAAACAAAGCAGGAGAGAGAGAGAGAGAGAGAGAGAGAGACAGACAGAGAGAGAGAGA